TTAGTTAGTTAGTTAGTTAGTTAGTTAGTTAGTTAGTTAGTTAGTAGTTAGTTAGTTAGTTAGTTAGTTAGCGGTTTAGCAACCAACAGCTTTAAGTGAACAGTCATCACTGAGTGAGAACTATTCTTGGTGGTCTGAAATGGATTTTTGTCATTCAAGCACTGGATTCTGAAAATTAGTCCTTCGGCAGCGGTGCAACTTCGTGGAAATGCAGACGTTCATCTGCAGGAATCAAAGCCCGACTAAAGCGAAGAACAGCTGGAGCTCGAGATACTACTAGTAACACTACTATGAAGGTTGGTGAACAATGCTGGACATCCTACAACCAGACTCACCTTCATTAGAGTTCATCGGACACGTGAAGTTCCCAAGTTCCCACGAATCTTACGATCTAATTGAACACCTAATTTCAGATAAGATTATTTGCGAATTAACTTGGTATTAACGAAAGGCTCGAATAAATCCCGCATATATACTTTCTATACTTTTCGTTCTGACTTGTTCGGATCACGTGATTTGCAACGTAGAGAATATCCCAAAAAACGATCTGACTTCGTGTCTTTTCCTGCCACATTCTGTTAGTGGCAGTTTTAGATCGAGATGGCAGTTAGTCCCACGGATCCATGACTCATGGCCCCAGGTTTCAAAAACCTCCGATCAGTGGGAAAAACGTGACTATCGGCCTAACTGAAGAGCTCGCGGCTGTCTACGACAAAATCACGTGATCCACTTAGACAAACGATTCAGTTGCAGGCGGCAGCCGTAGGGTTTGTGCTGACAGCAGCACACACGTGATCCGACTACATGAACGCCAGTTAGGACGGATCAATAGTTCATGGAGGTGAGTCATCTGTTTGGCAGTTCTATGATTCTGATCATTTTGTCCCAAAGTGGTACGCAGAAGTTGACTCGCATTAGGTGTCTTATTACTACCGAAATCGAAGTTTAGACTTCATGTCCAAACAGTTTACACAAAACCGTATATCTTGTTTTAACTTACTAACGGGAGAGAGGGCCTCAACTTCCCAAAACCGGGACATCCAACCTCGTTGGAATCTCGCTACCGTGTGACCATAAACGTACCTGTATCGAGGCGAAATACTAATTGATATTTTCGCTAAGTTTAGAGCCTAACTACGCTAGGTTACTGATAATTAGCGTTTCAGCCCTTTTGTTTCTAAGCGAAAGCTTCGCATAAAATCCTTTCTTGTTAAAAAAAGAGCACCCACATCTCACATACAGGTTGTGTAGATCTGGTTAGGTGACTGGCTAGTCAGTGTAAGGTCGTAAAAAGTTGTTCTCGATTGTCCTGTAAACACAAGTCACGTTGGTTGAATCCCCGTCAGTCCCAGTTGTTAACCCATTGTGGGAAACCATATGCAACTGAAACGCGTTAATTAGCCCGGTACGGGAACCAAATACATGGTTAAATTTGATGATTTGCACAAAATGACGCGACTTCTGTACTTTGGGCCGGTTGGAGGAGGGAGAACATAAGTTTGACGGAAATCCGGGGACTACGCCTACCTGATGAGCCCGAAATAGAAGGGCGAAACCGGTCGTGGGCTGTCAATGGATTTTCAGCAAACTTATGAGTAGTACATTACAAAGAATTAAACTTTCTTTTCTGTGCGTTGTAAACGTGCTGGATACTTCATTTTGCTTCATTTTCGTTCGATTAGAGTACCTAAAACGCAGCGGTAATTATCGCACGGATGTCTTCCTCATCCGCTCAACCCTCCAGAACGTAAGACCTTCACGAGCAAAGAAACTTTGTAGGTGTCTTGTCTCCGCTTGGCTGATCGTGCAGCTGGGTGATAGAGGGCGTGAAACCAAGTCTACAACTCTTAAAATTTTAACCCCATTTTCAAAGTAAAATGATTACATTAGTTAGTCGTTGCGTACATCCTGGTGATTCAGTTTTCAGATAAAAAGTAATGTACTTTATGGGAAAATCACCTTGAAAACGAAGCGTGCAATTGCTTTCAAAACCTCACAAGTACACGTTCCGCCACGAATGAAGCTGATTAGGCCTCCCGGTTGATCACCATCCGCATATTAACCTAAGATGTGGAACTGCTGAAGGGCTTTTGGAAGGCTCCTGAAAAGTCCCTAGGCGATCCCTAGGCGGCATTTCCGAGTTCAGTACTAAAAACAGAACAATCACAGCTCGTTTGTTAAAGTTGAGTTTATTTTGAAAACTTCATGCTCGGACCAGGAATGGACTCAGCCGTGAAGTACACTGGTGCTAACGAGAGACTCCACTAAAACTCTCAACTGTGATACCCTTCAGCTGAGAGATACAGTTCGGACGATACTCAAGATGCTGCAGTCTTTTTTCTCAACTAATTACACCATTCGTAAGACGACTGAAAGCTCTTCGCAGCCAGACCAAGACTGGTTTTGTTCTTTTTGATACTCATCGGGTACACGCAGGCCCAAGCTTCCGTCGACGTTGTGCTCTGCTTGAACACCAATCTGGAAGCGATTCGCGGACAATACTCACTTTCAGGTTGTTAGATGTTAACGAATGATCCATCCCAATCGTTGAGGATACTCTCCAACTGAATGTACTGCACATAAACCGCCTCATGTTTTAATTGGGAAGTCATTCAAGATATCGTAGCACGTTTTCTTGAAGGAACATACTACTCATTGGGTCGCTGAAGACTCTTTGGCAGCCCATGGCTAGGCTCAGCAGATAGGCGTACAAAAGACAGCGGAAATCCAGGAGCTACGTCATGCAGATAAACTCCAAGAAGGGATGAATCTTCCATAGCCTGTCGAAGATTCTTCAGCAACTTTATGGAAGGTGTGCTCCGCCAAAAATCTCATCGTTTGTCACACTGTTGCTAATCCAACTTTTTTGTCTGAGCAAATGCTACTAACGCCGTAGCTGTTGGTCGTCGTAATTTCTCGAATATTCGCAATCAGTGGCAACCACTCCCATGCAAACATAACATATCGGAAACACAACTTTCTCTGGGAACCACTCACAAGGTTGCTGAAAACTCTTCGACCTTGTGAGTAGTTTCGTTCATGAAAATATACTGTGATATCTCGAATATCGTGCCAACTGAATCACGAGGCAGCCTGTGTGCAGCAAATTCAGTTGTAGAATGTCATAAACAAGAGATTCACTTGAGTCACTTGTGAAAACCAAATAGATTTGCAAATAAGTGTATTTCTCGAAAACCTTCTCTGTTTCTCAGTAAAAACATCGTGCCAAGTAAAGCATTACTCTGATCCGTTGCACGCAAAGCCCATCAATTTTTTTCCAGTCTAATGTTACTTCAGAATATGTTCAGAACGCCTCTACCAAAAGACTTGATTAACTCTTCAATTCCTTGCTCATCCTGTGATGAGGACGAGTATAGCAATAACACACTGTTCTATTCTCCGTCTGAAACAGCAAAGTTGCGGAACTAAAACATGTTTTCCCGTTTTATCCGACCGTGAACACTTCCCCTATGTCATTTGCTTGCAATTAACTTGATTGCCAGCTTGTGGAATAGACATGACTGGATTGCTTCAGACGCAACACCCCCCCTCCCGTCCCTCCTTCAAATTTACTTTGGTCATCCTCTCATCCCGGAAGCCTCCGGAACAATCATCATCCATGTCACCACCCGTTGTGTTCCGGTTTCCGGTGCTTTGGTTGTGTTTCCCCAATCCATCCCTCTTGGCATTCACCTAACCAACGACCCACCCCCACTCGACTTCCAACCCACACACCCACATCGCCCACCCTTGTGATTCGTTGTTTTGTTGTTCTTTTTCTGTTTGCCCGCAACTCTCCAACCAAGTTTGACGTAACAAAAATATTCCGCAAAATAAAACTCCCATCGTTATTTCCCCAATTGTTTTGTAGAATTATCCGTCGTTCCCGGTCTGGTCTACGTGGCTTCCAAGACCTCTGAGGAGTTGGTCAGGCGTGAAAGGACGAATAGAACCATTTCACGTGGGTCATCCTTGCTAGATGAGCTTCACCCTCATCGTTGGTCATTTGTAGACCTATCCATGAAGTGTAATGAGTACCCCCATGTGTTGTACCGATTATTCTTCTGGCATTAAAACATTTCCTGATGACAGAAAAAACGTTAAGTCGACGTGAATTCGTCTGATGTAGCATAGCCGAAGTCGAATGGAAAAAAACGAGAATACGTGACACTACAGAAATGCTGAGTAATTCAAAATAACACGGATCGATAAATACGGCTTCTCGGAAGCTGTGAACTCACAAGGTGAAAAGTACTCAAGCTGAGAATCGTGACCTGATTGGTTATTTGTCCGCGTGAGCTCGAGATAGCTCAAGCGCGAACTTACTGACCTTGACATCTACAAATGTCACGCTGGTTCAAACTTGAAAGATTTTCATGTCGAGTGACAAAGTGGAAAATGGATTCTATCTGATGGTTCGAGGCTCTGAGTCCGAGCTCCAATCTTGACGGGATTTAGATACTACTGATGAGATCCAGTTAGAGCGACATTCAGGACCACCGATTTTCATTTGTGCACAGTGGAGAGGTAAAATCTCAGAGTCTAGTGACAGAAAATTAAGAATATAACTCAGTGTAACTTTTCTGTTTTGTGGCCGAGTTTGAACTCACTTGAGGATTCTTAGGAGACCTTGTTGGAGATTTCCATAGTTTCACGGCGCTTCAAAGTCAGTAAACATGATCTGATAACAATGTGTTCCGGGTTCCATGACCTCCTTAGTTTCACATTTTCTTGGCCGTCACCGAATGAGTAACACTCAGCGGTTAGTATGTGCTATAAACGCCGTCATCCAAGTCCCCTTTTCGCCAAACAAAGGACCGGATTCAGTACATGCACTAAAACCCACCATCAGGCCCTGATGAGTAACGAACAATTGCTATTTCCATAGCCACACCTCTCTCGTTACCTCTGTTCTGGTGTAATTATTCCACACCAAACAGGGGAAGCACTGGACTCGAGCTTTGCTCTTGCTAGAGCCCATCAGCAGTGCATACCCAATGGTCGTGTCCGGGGTTCAAACCCCGGACATTTGACATGCGAGGCGAGAGCGTTACCACATCTCCGTCAGAGCATGTTGAACGCATCTGAATTTTCGTGTCTAAACAGGCGATCGTGTTCACACTTGAGCGATGTGATTGGTGTGCCCGACTCATCGAACGACGACCTAGTAACTGTCCTGGTTGAGACGATCGATTGAACATGTGATAATTCAGGTACGTCGAACGTGCGTTGCTGGAGTAGTGGTTACACGGGCGCCCCGCATATAAAATGTCCGGGGTTCGAATCCCGACACGGCCATTGCATATGTACTGCTGATGAGCTCTAATAAGAGCGAAACTCGAGTCCAGTGCTTCCCTTCGGTGTGGGCTCACCAGAATAATTACACCACAACAGGAACACGGCCGTTCAAACGAGAGTGGTGTGGCTATGAACAAAAATACCTATCACGCTAAACCCCAAACTTGCAATTGCTAGTTCACTGGTCCAGTTACGCTTCGCACGCCATTTGATCTGAAAGATCTGTAAACACTTGAAGTACATATCCTGACGAAGCATAGATAATTAATAACAGGGAATCGCTTGTAGGATATCCGCGTCCACCTTTTCAGGCTTGTTCACCATACGATTCATCCAGCTTTCGTATGCTATGCTTACAGACGTGTGAACGTGTGTTGTTTTCTATTGAAACTCAAAGTAACTATTTCTGTTGGTCTACGCGTTCCCCCCCCCGCCCCCCCCCCGCCGCATGTATGTCTGGCGACAGTTAATAACAGGGTGCAGAATTCCCAAAGGTGTGCGACCTAAACACCCCCGTCTCCTCCCACGCACACAGCTGGAACAATCCCTTTGAGTTGGGCGGCGGGCTATTTACACCTCAAAGTTTGAGGTCGGGAAAATTGAATTAAAAATGACCATTGATATTTCTCCGGTGCGGGTCTGTCAGAGTTTAACATTAACACCTTTCCCGTGTCGGAACGTTGCGTGTGTGTGTGTGTGTGTGTGTGTCGGTACCGAAGCACAGTGAAATGCCAGTCAGGAAACCGGTCCTTACCCGTTTGGTTGTTTAAACCACTGCTGGTGAACTATAAACTCAATCAAATTGGGGAAAAAGTAGGAAAAATGTTCACCGTTTATTTCAGAGTTTTCCCAGGACATGCTTGATCAGTTAAAACGTGGAAGGAGATTTTTCAGTCGATTTCATCCACCTGTATTTTACATCCAAACTCTTGCAGGCGGCGGCGCAATTATGTTCACCATTTTGTCCACCTTCGAGGAATCTGACGGACGCATTCGTTTATGTAATCCTGTCCGGGTGTTTATTTAGCCCTCCCCAACCACAGATGGGATGGGGTGACGCATGGCACGAAGACTAGCTACCAGAACATCACTTATTGGCTGATTGTGTCACACGTTATTCACACCAGTCATGTGATCAATCCGAAAGAACCGTTTCACGTGATCTACCAAACAGGCTGCTAGTAACGATTCAACGGCTTTGTCCGACTACGGTTGAAGGAGCCGCAATATGATTGCGGGATTCAGTAGTATGCCGAGTATATTTCTCTGGTCATGTGACACATGCCATTCACATCAGTCACCTTTCGAACCACTCTACACTTTTTGAAAAATGCACTTATTTGCCTATCACTTTGGTTTTGATGGGAGACTCACCGCGAACCCGGATGAATCTCTCTGCTTAAACAATCAGGCCACCTCATGTTTCAGTTGGGACGATATTCCAGATTAGACTTAATGCATTACTCATAAAGTTGCTGAAAACTCTTCATCCTTGTGAGTAATGTATTACGTCCACACAATGTATCGCGATATCTCAAATATTGGAGCAACTGAAACATGAAGCGGCCTGGTACAGCAAACTCAACTTGGGTTCAAGTAGAACCAAAGGTTGACGGCGCCTACCTGATGAGCTCCAAGAAGGGCGAAACCCGAGGTGGATTGTCGAAGAGTCCTCAGCAACCTTATGAGTAACGTATCTCGTCTATACACTCAACACTTTACTTTTTCTCAAAACCGATTAACTAGCTTTCCCCTCTCAATCAACAAGCAGTCCCCGTTTGCACTCTAACCCGTGCACTGACTCTACGAAGCGGTCTCAAAAACGTCAAAGTACTTGTTATAACAACGGGAATATTCAAGAAGTGGTATTGCTTAACCCCGATACTTCCGTACAGAAAAGTAGAGCTAACTCAAGGAAACTCAGCCGTCCAGCTTTCTTCGTTTCTTTCGTTTCTATGAAGACAAAATCAGCCATCCGGTAGGTACTGTGTCAACGCCGGGTGTGTTGGTAACTCTTTCAATCGTACAGCCGCTTCGGTGCCTAGCTGTCACACCATTCACAGGGAGGAGTTACTTTCAGGTCTCCCAAGCTTAGACAGGAGTAATCAAGACACTGAGGTTGGGTTCGAATCACGTACCGGTCGGTCAGCGAGTTCTCCCCTTGAGCACTGTGCCATCTCAAGATCATGCCGTGTTTTTTATTCTTCGATAACTTAACGGCAAAACGTCTAGTTCTTATAACGATATTCCGTACCACAGTGTACCACGTGTAGTTTCTCCCCATAACCATGCAGTCACGTGATCCGGCATTCAAAAAACACAACAACCAGTGCTTTTTTCTGGGGCGGGGTGGGGTAAGAGTGATCAGCTCTCTCCAAACAATGTGAGTAGTGGACTTGTACAAAAACCGTCCAGCTTCTACCGAATGCAACTCAGGAAAAAATTATGGGACTGCCCACCGCAGCCACACACCTGGGAAATCGTTTTGGGCGTTTCTGGATGGTAGCTGAAAAATTCCATCGCAAACAAAACCCGCAATTAAAACTACCAGTGGACGCAACCTAAGTATCCTATCAAATCGAGAGCACTCTCATTTATTTCACCTCACAATAACTTTCTCGTCTTTTTGTAGATTGCGTTGATAACGCCGTAACAAGCAACTCCCTCTCTCTCTCTGTTCTAAGGATTTTTGCAACTCTGTATATTCCGCTGTACTGGAGTATTCCACCGGCTGCTAATCAGGTGACAGTGGGCTAAACAAGTTGAACAGTTCAACATCTTCAGGACACAAGACGAAAGGTCTTTGATGATGCCAAAAGCGAGGGTCATCGACTTGTTTGGTTGAGATATCCTATTCCCTGTCTGTCGACGAAAACATATGGAAAGTGCAGTTTTTCAGAAGTCTGGATGTAACATCATTTACCGCCAACCGGACTCGAGTAGTGCTCAAACGGTTTTCGAATAACCGATCAGTGACATCTGGAAACTTTCCATTAGGCGTGCACAGAGGTTCACCTGAAACATATTTGAATCTCTCGTTTATAGAATTCGTCAACTTGGTGCGTTGGATCGATAATCAAGATAGAAAAATTACCATCCATACAGTTCCTATGGTTACTTAAAACGCCGGACAGACCGTTTCATCTTTCATGGGGTTCGTCGGATGTGTCAAGTCCCCCAAATCGTAGACATCAAATTGCACGTAGGTTGGGGTAGATGACCGTCGGCGCGGTTCGACAGCCTGGATATCATTCCGATTGAAATGTGAGGTGGCTTATGTACAGCACATTCGACTGAAGAGTAGCACTAGCGAGAGATTAATACAGACAATAAGATAAAGACATTCGTTCAACTAGCACTCTTTCGGTGCCTTACTGCCATGCCACCCGAAGGAAGCACGAGGGCTGTCAAGTTGCCCAAGCCTAGACAGGGAAGTCGAGAGCCAGAGGTCGGGTTCGAACCACGGTCAGTCAGTTCGCGCTCTAGCGACTGAGCCTCTCATCCAGCGAGATTCAAGTGTCTGCAGCGCTACCTGACTGGGAAGTCATGACAGGCGGGTCGATCGATCGTCACAAACAGGGTGAGTCGGGTACACCAGCCAATCACATCGCCCAAGCGTGAACACATCCGCCCGTTCATACGTGAAAATTCACATGCGTCCAACGTCCGCTGGCGGATCAGTGGTAACACGTTCGCCTCGCACGTCACGTGTCCGGAGTTCAAATCCTGGTACGGCCATTGGACATGCACTGCTGATGAGCTCTGATAAGAGCGAAACTCGAGTCCAACGCTCTCCTCATTTGGTGTGGGCTCACCAGAATAATTACGCCAGAACAGGAGGGTGACTGTCCAAACGAGCCGTGGGTCTACCTGACGATCCAAAATAAGGGACAGGTGTTATTCATTTCACAAGAGACTCTACCGAATCTCTCGTTTATGATGTTTTTCAACGGAATGTGCTGCACAAAGAACGCCTAATATTTCAGTTGGTACAATATTCGAGATATCGCTGTATATTTTCATGAAGGAAACTACTCACAAGGTTGGTGAAAACTCCAGAGTCTTTTCGAATGGTATTCAAAAGATACGAATAAGCAGTGACCATCCGTAGAGCCTTACGTTCATGCTACCGGAAGGAAACACGAAGGCCGAAATACTGTCTGGTAGTCGAGATACTGAGGTAGGGTTCGAACCATGGACTTTCCGGTCACCAAGGCGAACGTCTCAAGCAATACTGGATATGTTCGTCTTGGCGCTACCAACCAAATGGTAGAACGATCATCCTATTGGGTGGGAACGAAGAACGTTTACAGAACACTCCGGAAAGACATCTGCTTCTCTGTGAATCCGGTTCCCATTGTAAACCATCAACTGGCCAGTCCTGCTGTCCAGTCCATCAACTCCCACCTGAACCCTGGCCTCAACTTCATTGTGACAACCTTCGGGGAACAACACCGGACTGGCGTTACGTCAACTCCAGCGAGTCTGCATGTGTCTGCGATTGACAGACTGTCTCAAACAGTTTGATATCTTCCGGTTGGTACATTCTGTTTCGACTGCAACAATCAGTGGGATTGTCAAACGAAACACGTGCCTGTGACGAGTCACCGTCCGAGGTGACGGATCGATAAAGGCGAAGAAATTCACCGGTCATCCAACAGTGGTTGTGGACAGCGGTGGCTAATGACAGTTTGAGTAATTGATGGATAGCTGTTTGTCGAATGAACACGGGGCGATGGGCTGGGCACAATAAAAGCAGCTGAAGTGAGAAAATATGTGGGACTTTTGCCTTCACGTCTGGTTGAGACTCACAGGTTGTAATCGATACAATTGAAGCGAAGTCGGTGAGCTAAACGGAAGAATGTAAAACCTGGCAAAATACGTTGGTTCGAAAATTACATTGGCGTTCTCGAAAGACTAGGATTACCATCTCTTATGTGATGATGTTTGACTGAATAGTATCGTTAACGCCTACTGATGTTTAAGGAGCACGCTATTCGGGATATCGCAGCATAATTTCTTGACAAAACACACTACTGATCAGGTTGCTGAAGAAGCCTTGCAGCCCACCACTGGCCTCAATCTCCTTAAACTTAAATGTGTAGGCTAAGAACTCTGGGTCTAAACAGAACGCAAGCATGAGGGAGAGTTGAAAACAGCCCTGGTAGACCCCAACAGGCGTGAGTTTTGTGGCGGTTTTCTGAAGAGTACTGAGCAACCTTATAAGTAACTAGACATGTCAGTAAGTCAAAAGTTCATTTTCAGACACCGCGAAACAAATAATGCACGCCTTCGACTAAATGACACGGCTATACATAAAACAAAAAATGTGGTTCATTAAGTCTCCAGGGAAATTTAAGATTAGTTAGTTAGTTAGTTAGTTAGTTAGTTAGTTAGTTAGTTAGTTAGTTAGTTAGTTAGTTAGTTAGTTAGTTAGTTAGTTAGTTAGTTAGTTAGTTAGTTAGTTAGTTAGTTAGTTAGTTAGTTAGTTAGTTAGTTAGTTAGTTAGTTAGTTAGTTAGTTAGTTAGTTAGTTAGTTAGTTAGTTAGTTAGTTAGTTAGTTAGTTAGTTAGTTAGTTAGTTAGTTAGTTAGTTAGTTAGTTAGTTAGTTAGTTAGTTAGTTAGTTAGTTAGTTAGTTAGTTAGTTAGTTAGTTAGTTAGTTAGTTAGTTAGTTAGTTAGTTAGTTAGTTAGTTAGTTAGTTAGTTAGTTAGTTAGTTAGTTAGTTAGTTAGTTAGTTAGTTAGTTAGTTAGTTAGTTAGTTAGTTAGTTAGTTAGTTAGTTAGTTAGTTAGTTAGTTAGTTAGTTAGTTAGTTAGTTAGTTAGTTAGTTAGTTAGTTAGTTAGTTAGTTAGTTAGTTAGTTAGTTAGTTAGTTAGTTAGTTAGTTAGTTAGTTAGTTAGTTAGTTAGTTAGTTAGTTAGTTAGTTAGTTAGTTAGTTAGTTAGTTAGTTAGTTAGTTAGTTAGTTAGTTAGTTAGTTAGTTAGTTAGTTAGTTAGTTAGTTAGTTAGTTAGTTAGTTAGTTAGTTAGTTAGTTAGTTAGTTAGTTAGTTAGTTAGTTAGTTAGTTAGTTAGTTAGTTAGTTAGTTAGTTAGTTAGTTAGTTAGTTAGTTAGTTAGTTAGTTAGTTAGTTAGTTAGTTAGTTAGTTAGTTAGTTAGTTAGTTAGTTAGTTAGTTAGTTAGTTAGTTAGTTAGTTAGTTAGTTAGTTAGTTAGTTAGTTAGTTAGTTAGTTAGTTAGTTAGTTAGTTAGTTAGTTAGTTAGTTAGTTAGTTAGTTAGTTAGTTAGTTAGTTAGTTAGTTAGTTAGTTAGTTAGTTAGTTAGTTAGTTAGTTAGTTAGTTAGTTAGTTAGTTAGTTAGTTAGTTAGTTAGTTAGTTAGTTAGTTAGTTAGTTAGTTAGTTAGTTAGTTAGTTAGTTAGTTAGTTAGTTAGTTAGTTAGTTAGTTAGTTAGTTAGTTAGTTAGTTAGTTAGTTAGTTAGTTAGTTAGTTAGTTAGTTAGTTAGTTAGTTAGTTAGTTAGTTAGTTAGTTAGTTAGTTAGTTAGTTAGTTAGTTAGTTAGTTAGTTAGTTAGTTAGTTAGTTAGTTAGTTAGTTAGTTAGTTAGTTAGTTAGTTATAGATAGATAGGTAGATAGATAGATAGATAGATAGGGTAGATAGATAGGGTACATTTGTAAGACACAACCCACGCGGTTGATTAAAACTCTGAACGAACGCTACCAATCTCACTCCCTCTGGGGTCTATGTGGTTGGCCTGGTTCCTTGATTTCCACTAAGCTCATATCGAGCTTGAATACCTTGCTGTACTCACCTAAACACCCATTTGCAACTTGACTTGGTGATTAGGAGGGACTCACCTGTAGCTCACCTAAACCACTCCTTCATGATATTCTCCAACAGAATTTGCTGTTCATGTTTCATTTGTAGCTGTATGCAGTGAAGTGAAACCATTTTTAACGACGCTCATAGGGTCAATGAAAATTCTGGGCAACCCTTTACCAGTTTCGTCCTTACAGCGGTTCATAAGGTAGGTCTACTTATGCAACAACACTACTTCCTGCTTGATCAGTAGTATCGTACAAACGATATCTAGAATATCCTTCCGGCTTTAACACGACCTTGTGCAACATACTCTTTGAATGAGATTACAAACAGTAATGTCTCTCGTAAATGAGAGACTCAGCTTGACTCCAGGTAAGTCTCCCGTCAAAACCAAATTAGTACGCACAGCAGTGTATTTGTCGAATTTCGTGCAATTCGTGTTCAAGTGAAACATAAGGTCGAAGGAAACCTAAGATTGTGCCCACCTGATGGATCCCGAGAAGAGCAGAACTAATTGTGACCTTATAAATAGCGTATTATGCCTGACACCTTCTTTCCCGCTGGTGATGGCCTGAGTTCGTTTGCTTGGTTTCCAGGTGATATGATAATAATCTTAATACTGAATTCCGACTGGATATTTAGGAAACCAGCTGAATATTTGAAAAAAAACAGTCCCCGTATCACTCCATCCTGGATAAATAGACACCAGCTGTTCGAGTCAGACTATCGTGTGCGAATCTTTCTTTTACAGTAGTTTATACAATTGAACTGCCTCGGTGCAACTTACGGTATAATTACGCGATTATTCCGATAGATTTCATTTCCCCTCCTTTGTTGTACTGTTAAACCAGAAGTGACTGCTGAGGCCGCGTGGATTTTGGAGCAAAAAAACTGAAGCACTGCCACAGAATACAGCTGATTTCGAATCCTTGCTTTGGTTAATAAGGCCAGTTGTCTCCTGGTGAAGAGACTTTTCGTTGGACCAAGACTTGATCTACTTTCGGATCCGTTGTTCCCCATTCAAAATGAGGCGTCAGGTAGACCAGTCGCATCGCTCATGCGTGAAAAACTTCACCTGTTCAGGCGTGCGTCTATTGTGCATTTTTTCAATAGTGGTAACAGATCTGCCTCGCTGGTCATATGCTCGGAGTTCAAACCCCGAAATTGCCAAGGATACACACTACTGATGAGCTACAATAAGTTCGAGACCTGAGCCCGGTGCTTCCCGCACTTGACGTGGACTCACCAGGAAAGAAGAGGGAGTGTTCAAGCGAAACTGAGTTCTACAAATTCCGTAAGAACCAACAACAGTTTAGGTTGCCCACTTGTGCCCCTGGATTGTTTAGGCCATTCAGCCCTCAAAGTATGCTTGCTTTTGATTGACCTCATGTCAGTGGTTCTCACGTGATCGATCGATCTGTGATCGGTTGGTGCTGGCCAATCATGTTATTCGATCAGCTAACCACCGTGCAGTCGCACTACCCAACTGTAAGGTCATTCAAGCCTACCATCCCATCAGTTCAGACCAATCAGGAAGCCCGATTTCGATCACATGCCTTGCCCGCCATCAGTTTTTTATAACTGGTGATTTCACACTAGTTCCAATCAGCCATATGAAATAACAGCCTTCGGTAGCTATTATGCCGTTGTTTTTGATGTTCCTGCCGACATTTGGGTTAATCTTCTTACGAGTAAAGTGTTTTTATTCATGCTAAGAATCCGTAATTGGTTTGCCTAGTCAATTCTCACCCCCTTTACCAGTACTCTTTCCACAAATTCCATTAACACGTAACGTATTCAAATTTCTCGTTTATCTTGAGACATCGGATTGAACAACGCTTTGCTTTCTGGTACGCTTACCTTTGCGTCCAAGAATTTTTGTGACTACAATAGTTAGTTACTCTTCCGTCACACCCCGCCCCCCGCCACACACACACACGCAAATACAAAAGCTGAGCACCGAAAACAACATCAATCTTCTGTCATTGTGTGCTGACCATCTCGGTATTTTGTTTTTCTCCGGTGTATCAGCAAAACACCTTACTCCATTGTCTCCGTTCTTTCGGAGTCGCGCGTACAAATGAGTTTTCAGTTTCTTTTCCTTCTGATTTCTTACCCGTACTGACATATTTTCTTAGTTGAGTACACACAGTCGAACGGAGTACATACACACACACGAACAACGAGGCATACTGCCTTAGAGTATGGATGCCATGATAGGAGAGGGGAGGTGTAGTCCGGTGTGGAATGGGCTGCTTACTTGCTTAGTTCTGAAACACTGATAAGACGCAAATTGGACTTGGTCGGTTATCTGGACAGTGAGTAGCCCTCACACAATGGGAGAAGCTGTCAAACACGGGTGAACAAGAGACCGACCGTATCAGCCCAACGCGGACTGTCCCATTCCTACTCAGTCGGTTTTCCTCCCATACGAAGTAAATCACTCTCTCCAGCTGGAATGAACAAGGCGGGGGGTTGGACAGGTATAATGACCACATGCAACGGTCCAGCTAGCCTAGTTTGTCGACAAAAGTTGCTCGCAAAGTTTAACCCGTTAAGTTGCAAACTTCCCTGTGATCCGGTGGCAAAACTACACTGCGGCAAAAGCAGACGAATGCAACTCTATCATGATTTTCGTAGCTATTCCGACTGGAATAACGATCACAATTTGACAACAGCCCACCGGGAACCAGCTAGAGTCTCCCGCGGCGCCGTGGATGAGAATTCAACAGTGGGCATAGCAACCCGTGTGATTGAACCCAGCGGAACGGCATAGACATATCATAAAAGGATTTGGACAAACCCTATCACATTTTGACAGTAAGTAGACAGAATCCAGTGGACCTCACGCGGTTTGCCTGTCTCTGTAGGATTGCGTGCGGACCACGATCATGCCACCCTCTGTGCACGCTTCATACAACTGACAGTAGTAATCCCGCATTTTCAACGATCAGACGCGCAGGTATCCAAGTGAAGAGCAGGACAACAAAATGACATGGATGAACTGGTAACATTGGTAATCAGAACTCTTTTAAGGGATACCAACCAAAAAAAGTTGACATGCGCTTACTTTAAGTAGTCTTCTCGGCAATAAGCTTTCCCATCACGAACGAAGCAGGTTGGATCGTTGCCCAGTGATCGATGACATTTCGAACAGTTCAAACAACGTCCGTGCCATTCCAGGTCGGGCTGAACATGAAGGATGAACGGATCGTAGATGGCCGAACCACAACCGACGCACAGAGAGGAGGGGTTCGAGGGTGAGTTCAGATGAGTCGGTGGGAGAAATTTCATGGAATCTGCTGTTTTAGGAAACAAATTGGGCAATGGAGAGGAATGACGAATGGAAAGTTTAGATCAAAAGTAGCAACAGAAACTGATTGGGTCCTGAATGGCATAGGTAGTCGGATTTGGAAAGTGTAACCTTAATCCTGATCAGTTATTGATCGATCGGTGGCTTGGATGCTTTTGCTCAAATTTTAGGAGCTAACATACGTTCTTAGCTTTGTAACGAATTGGAAGGCAAGACATATCAACACACTGGTGGACCTTTTGGACGAAGAAATTTCGAAACGATCATGTGTTTTTGTCCCGTCTTGGTCCATCGATTACACAATCCCTCAAATGACCCTTTGGCTGGATGATGGTCGGGTTGTTCCAAATTCGACAAACAGTTTTGAACTGTCAATGGAAAGTTCACGTGACGACTCACAGCTACGTCCATTTGATTGGTCTCGGTAAATGTAAAAGCTTCTTGCGGCAGTCTGACCAGAGTATTGATTACCCGGGCTCATAAACTTAAGATCAAAAGATCCTCTGCATTTTTTCGTAACCAGTTAGGGCTATGAAGACAAGTCATTGGGGGAACACGTTTCACTCTGCATTCGGGCTACGGGAAGTCGCTCATCTGAATGTGGTCAATATGAAATGACTACAGACTTTTGTTAATCATGCAACCACACGAGGCCTTTCGTCCCTATTCTTCACCTGCATGTGTTGCTGCGAAAGGCTACCTCGTGTTTCATTTGGTGGGATATTTTAGATAGTACAGTATATATCCCTGATGAAAGATACTACTCGTAAGGTTGCTGAGTTTTGTTCGACAGATGCGGGTATTTCATGAATTTGGGCTAAAGTAGAACATACGGTGTTGGAAACTCGAAGACTACGCTCAACTGACAAACTCGAAATGGAAGAGACAAACCCATTGTAGATTGTCGAGGAGCTCTTAGCAACTAGCGTATTCCACCTAGAAAATGTGTTGCGATATCTGGTGCCAACTGAACCACGGGGAGGTGGTATCGCGGAGCATTCATCTGAAGAACAGAATAACCGAAAGTTTCAGATGGGCTTCAGTCGAGTTAGCACCAAACTAATTTGCGAATGAGTGTATTTTATCATATACGTACCATATTTTCTTAGATACATGCAGTCGCTGCAACGCAACTTTTAAGAAGACCCTCTTATTTGCAGAACAGCAGGACATGAGAGGGGTTAGTGTCTACGTCTGCAGTCAGGTCATCCGGACCTCGATTGGGAGGTTCACGCGGCCGCCATCTCCTCGTTCTTTTGGCAACATATCTAACTCAAATACAGTTATTGACATAGATTTGGTTCAGTGTCGCAGAGTTCAGGGTGCTCGTGACACCTTTTTGTAAAACCACTGGAACGGTTACGGTGAATATTGATTGGATTGATGGCAGTTGACTCACATCATAAAATTACCCAGCTTGGTCCAGCAGAATGTGATTTCTATCTGAATCTATCACGTCTCCTCATTACGTCCAAGAGGCGAATGATGTTCTCATTCAGTCCATTCTCCATTCCGTCCCACAATCCTTCCTCTGAGCAGTTGTCACTCGGCTAGCCAATCAGCATTAAGTCACGTGAACAGAATCTGTCATGTTCAAAATAAGTGTAAGTCAATGCACTCCCGCCTAGCCAATCATAACGGTGGATTGCAACTCCCTGTTCGGAAGTTTCAAATCATTTTTAGGATTCTTTCGGAACGCTTTTGAGAATAGATTTACTTTGGTGAACAAAACGAACACAGGAACGATGCGACCCCGATGACCACAAGTTCACACCAGAACGTGATGTAAGTTTGGATCAATAGTTGATTGAAGAACTTTGTACTCTCAAACTATGCTCTGTTGGATTACACAATGTATTGTATGGGTAAAAACTTTTGACGCAATGGAAGAAGGAGAAAAAATAATGAACATATCTCGAGGTAAAAAACGACAAAGTTAACCCATCCTGCTGTGGTAACGCGGGAAACTGGAGAGAAACTTGAGTTACGATTTAAAGTGCTCTTTTTTTCTTTGTTGTTCAAAAACGACTGTCTGTACACTGGCCACCTATTGCCCAGACCGCCAGGTAAATAACCAGTCTGGCGATTTCGAGATCCCTGCAAACCTTACTTATATCGAGGACCAGTTCTTTGTTTAGATGACGCTTTTCCAGTTGGAACCATTATTCGATGGTGTTCTTCCCCACCCCCGGTGTTGGCTAGACCCACCAGGAGAAAATAAACCAAGAAACAAAAACCCCGTGAAGGTCACAGGGTGGAGACCATAGGGGTCAGGGACAAAGGTTATTTAGCACCGACTAGAGGACGAAAGTATGGAGGCCAAGCTGACCAATCAGGATAAAAAACCAACGAATGGAACCGAACGATTAATCGTGATCGGAGATCAGCCCTGACTAGCAGCAAGTATATTAAAACCTAAGTACTGTTACTCACTTTGACCCCTCGTTGTGCCTCAACCCGCTTCCTAACAAGCAGATAAGCCAACAAATCAACGAACATGTCCTCAACCGGTGCTAAAAAGCCACCTGGCGAAACCGAAATGAGAACGAAGGAATTTTTTCACCGACAAGAAAACTAACCACATTACGAGTTCAGTAGTATATTGCTTTGCTCTAGATCCTAATCTCATTTCGTTTACTGCATTTTTGAAATATGAACACGTGATCATTGTGGCTCAAGAAACATCCTTCTTGAGTTGAGCTCATTCTAATCGAGCCTGATGGTACAAGGCATAGAGTCTCAGCTACTAGATATGGCAGCCAAGGGCAGAAGGCATCTTAGATGTGTTTCTGCCACAAATCCGATCTCCTTCAGTTCAAAAAGGTATGTTCTGTTCTGTGGATATGGCAGTGCGGACAAATCACGTGGCATCCAAACTGTTCTATGTTGGAGGGATTCCTCGTAGAATTAAGTGGAGTGGAAAACTTGGTACTTCAGCAAATCATGCGTCGGGTGGTGGGTTCAGACGTCGCGGCCACTGTATTCCAGTTGATTTCGAAATCGCGTAGAAGTAAACTCTCTCCAGAAAGAGAACAACTAGCCGAGCACTTTCATAAAGGAAACTACTCACAAGGTTGCTGAAAACTCTTCGACAGACCACGATCGGTTTCGCCCTTCCACTTCGGGCTCATCAGTTAGGCACAGTCCTCGAGTTTTCGTCAACCCTATGTTCTACTTGAACCCCAATAAGACTGTTTTCCAGAAATGCACTCATTTGCAAATCAATTTGGTTTTCACGAGAGACTCAACTGAATCTCTCGTTTATGATATTCTACAACTGAATGTGCTTCACACAGGCCGCCTCATGTTACAGTTGACACGATATTCGAGATATCGCAGTGTGCAACACATTCAGTTGTGGAATATCATTAACGAGAGATTCATTTGAGCCTCTCGTGGAAACCAAATTGATTTGCAAATGAGTGTATTTCTTGAAAACTGGCCGAGCACTTTTTGTCACTCTCCTATGCTGATCTTTTCTGAAGAGCAAAACCGTGGTGCTCAATCGTTTCCTTTTTCGGGGGCAGTCTTTGAATAAAACTGTCTTGAGAATACTCACAAGTCTTATGAACCTTCCAGATGAACAGTTGTTACTCGACAGATAAGTGGATTCGAGACCACGTGATGTGAATTCCGTGGTTGAAGGATGAGTGACGATATGCCCTTTCTAAGTGAGGGTTAATCGGTCGCTCACTGCCGAGTGGTTCAACTCTCAACTGCTAGTCAGAAGGTCTGAGGTTCGAATCCCTATGGAGCTTGGTGAGCGGCCCACTGCCGATGGTTCCCAATGAGGATGCTTCCCAGCTTTTCAGCCTAGACTGGCTTCAGGTATGGATTGAAACGTTGACTGAAAACTGGCGGAAAATCGCGGATTCTTAGAAAGCGATTGAAACAAAGTAGCTAGAAAATGGGCCGTCCTCATTTGCAACAAATTCGGTCTTTTCCCTCAACGTACTGTCCTCATTGTGCTTTTGGATCAGGTAATAACTTGATCACGTGTTCGCCGGGGGGGGGGGCGGCTCACTTACAACCATACAACCGACCAATTTGGACGACGCTGCCGATCATCCTCGTGTGTGTGTATATGTATATGTATGTATACATATATATGTATACATACGTATAGATGAATGTTCGTCTGGATGAGCAGTGCTCATCCGGTCCATTGGAACGATTGTGGTTATCCTCATTTGCCTCTTGTTGTGTTTGTTTGCTGCATATCCGGAAACAATTGTCCGTTCGTCAAGAAAAACGAATGACAGGATTTGGGGCAAATCCCACGAACAAGATTTTCTTGGGATTGAGAGACGCGAAAAACGAGGTCGACAGCTGTTTTGGCTACTATCAACGTTATAACGGCTAGAAACTGCTAACTGCTCGATCGAAAACTCGGATCGCAAACTTTTCGTTACTGATTTAGAGTGATACTCAGCTGTGAACGGGTTGCACTGGTAAATTGAAGACGCTGTGAGTTCTCTTAAGGAACAGACAAGAATTCCTCTTCAGTGTTTTCGATTTGTGTCCAAACGGCAGTGCGGCAATCCCTTTACGTTATTTTTGGTGAAGAGGCGAGGTGGCCCAAGTGGTTAGAGCGCGCATTTAGTGACCGGAAGATCTGAGGTTCGAACCCGACCTCTGCCTCTCGACTTCCCCTTTGCGTAGGCTTGGGCAACCTGGCAGTATCCCAGCCCTCGTGCAACCTTCGGGTGGCAGTTAGGCACCGAAAGGGTGTTACAGCTGAACGATTATTTTTATTTTATTTTTGGTAAGGAAACAGTGTGTATGCACAAACTTACGGCCAATCTGAAAACGCGTTCACGGATCCGAACCCAGATCGAGGGGCTCGAAGTCCATGATGTCAACCATCGAACTACTCGAGTGAATTATAGTGTTAATTCCACACTATTAACCATTATTCTTTCAACTAGTCAAGCCACAAAATTGAAATGTTCATACTCTCGGGATTTTTCTGAACATTTATCAAGATTGTGTCCTTTGACTGCATTTTCAAAGGGGTACCAATCGTCCGCGACAAATATATCCTTCTGAGAATTTCGGGTGACAGCTACTAAGTTTGGTCCCTCTCACTACATAATTTCTTTCAACTTACAAGTAATCTAACCTTTTCTAGGAGGAACAGAGTAAGTGTCTTTTAGGAAGTGAAAGCGGTTCAACAGTGTGAGTAGTATGTCATGCGAAGGAAATACACTGCACTAACAATCAAAACACGAGGCGGTCGAAGAACATCTTAGGTGACAGATTCAGCTGTTATTCGCTTAATTCTGCGACGAATTTTTAGCAACCTTAATGAGTAGTACATTACAAAGATACACATGTATCGCGATATTTCAAATATCGTAGCGACTAAAACATGAGGCGGCCTGGTGCAGCACACTCACTTGCATGAGAACATCATAAACGAGAGATTCAGCTGGGTTCCAGGTGAGTGTCTCGTAAAATAAAAAACAAATTAGTTTGCAAATGGGTGTATATTCGCTAATTTCGTGCAATTTGGTTTCAAGTAGAACATAAGGTTGACGGAAACCCGGGGACTGCGCCTACCTGATGAGCCCGAAGTGGAAGGGCGAAACCGGTCGTGGGCTGTTGACGAATTTTCAGCAACCTTATGGGTAGGGCACCTGCTTAATTCTGTTTACATTCTCGAGTGCATACACCTGATCCAAACACCTGGTGGAAGTGTGTTTCCCGGCAACCTCACATTATCTCGCAACTTGTTATAAGTACGAGTTAGGCGTTCGTCGTCGGACGGTTGCAATCTTCAGCGGTTCCGTGATACATAGCTTTTCAAAGCAAATAAGAAACTCTAGCCGATCGTTTCTTTCGGTAACAGTTTCGGTGTGATCAGATGCAGGTGGTCTGGGTAGAGAAAAACTGTTGGGATATTGCTCCTGAAAGACCTACTTTGTCAAAAGAAGCTCAACTCCGGTTTTGGCAAGAACCGCCGGTTGAATAAAAAACACATTCTTCCAAGTAAAGTAAAGTTGGGACGGTACTTCGAAGGTCCCGAGCCACGGCTAGGGACGAGGCTCTGCGTGGTGGTAGGATACTGTAGACAGGTGTTTAGGCGAGGCTGGAAAAGAGATTGATTGTGTAGAGCACCGCCGTCATGCCTCTTCCCATGCTAGAGTCCGTGTGTCATCGGACGATGTTTTCGCATCAGCAATTCTGTTTGCGAAGCAAAACTGAGAATGAAGCTTTTTTGAGAAATAGACTCATTTGCAAATCAATTTGGTTTTCACTGGAGACTCAATTGAATCTCTTGTTTATGATGTCCTCCAACTGAAAGTGCTGCCCACAGGCCGCCTCATGATTCAGTTGACACGATATTCGAGATATCGCAGTATATTTTCATAAAGGAAACTACTCACAAGGTTGCTGAAAACTCTTCGACAGCCCACGACAGGTTTCTCCCTTCTTGGGGCTCATAGTCAGGCATAGTCCCCGAGTTTCCGTCAACTATATGATCTAATTGAACCCAAATTGCACTGTTTTCAAGAACTACACTCATTTGCAAATCAAATTGGTTTTGACGAGAAACTCAACTGAATCTCTCGTTCATAATGAGCCCTATTCGTCGGCTGTCGAAGCGTTTTCAGCAACCTTGTGAGTAGTTTCCTTTGTGAAAAAGAGAATGAAGTTTGTTTGCTCAGGACCAATCTTCACTGGGCCATGACGTTTACACCATCTCTGTCAGGACGGAATCCAGTCAACTGCAACCGTCCAAGATGTCTAAGCTAAGACAGCTCAGTGATTAAGGCGCAAACTTACTGACCGGAAGGTCCATGGTTCGAACCCAACCACGGCATCTCACTTGCTCTTGTCTAGACTCTGGTAACCTGGCAGTATCTCGGCCTGGGGCTTCATACGGGTAGCATGGTAGCTAGGCACCTGTCTAAAACTGTGGTAAGTCCAGAAAGTGATACTAAAAGCTTTGGTTGAGTTTTGGGAGGAGGGAAATTTTCAGTCACCATGGTTACAATCCCGTATTTAGCGAGGAGACTTTTTGAAGTGCTAGGATCAAACTACATATTTCCAAAGATGGGGATCGCAAGCATTTTATGGTATGCATCGGGTGATTTTTTCTGTCAAACCACCCAGCGAGACAGAGTATTGTGAAAAAAGAAGGAGATATTTATTACGTACAACACGATGGGGGTGATCTTGCTTTTGATGGTGAACTAAGAGTACTAAAAGTACGTGTGTTTGTAGGGTCAATCATACTGACGAAACGAGTCATACTACTCTAAAAGAAACTTTGAACTTTAAAGGTAATCCTTCGAAAATTCACGATCGTTTTTTTAATAAGAAATCATCATGGTAACTGAGATGATTGAAACTGATGTGATTTCTCAGTTCAACGGCTGTTTGAGCGCTGGAAAGTGATGGAACTTTAAGACTGGAAGCCAATATTATTGCCCCCGCTCATGGAACATGATCATCTGTTCACTTGTTTGGCAGGTGTGCAGGCAGTGTGTGTCCAAAATCTTAGAAGCCCTATAAACAA